GAAAAGCGCCGGGGGAAGCCGGCGGGGGGGGCATCCCAGGCGCGCATGGGCTGCCCCCCCGCCGGAGCTGCCTCTGGTCTGCTGGGGACCATCTCCAGCAGACCAGGGACACCGGGAGCAAAGGAGGCGGAGGGGCGCTGGGGTATAAGATGAAACCCTATCTTTTAATTAAAAAAATAGGGGGTCGTCTTATACGCCCAGTCGCCCTATACGCCGGAAAATACGGTAACTTACTTATATTAATATACCACAATGATTAGTATGTATCCATAGGGTTCCCAGCGCCACTGCCTAGACCCAGCAATGCATTTTCCACTGTAACTTGCAGACACTGTTTTGTGGATTTTTTTTAAACACTGCCAAAAAGGGACTCTTTCCTGCTAGAGTAAAGCTGATGAAAGAAATGAGTGGTGACAGAAAAAAATAGAAAGAGTCCTACTGGCAAGAGATCAGGAAGAGGGAAAAGAAAGACTGGAGGGGGCTGAGGATCATGCTGTAGAAAAGAGTTAGCCAAAGAAGTTGGAGGACTCTGTATATTTTTATTAAGCAGTATTTTGTTCTGCTGAATTAAAGGATGAGTGAATCTTATGGAGCCTGAGATTTTATGAACCTCTTGAACTAGTTCTTTTGGGTTTGCAAAACAACTAATTAGCCTGTTTCTTTGTTCACTTGAGATTTAACTCGTGTTGTTACTCCTAATTTACAGCAGGAGAAGAAATGGGCCCATGATGTTTAGATTTTGATTAGAATTCTTCCTTCTCCGGTGCCTTTCCCCTGTTTTTGTTTTTTACTCTGTCTGCTCTCATCCAGTGAGAAATAATGGTGGAAAAAATGAGGTTTCCCCTTTGCATTGTTTCTCATACCCTCCTCTACCCAGAATGCAAACCCAATAGTGTCTGAGTTCAAGGTAAATGTTCGTGTGGCTTTAAAATGGCAAAATGAATTTGCCCATCTTTTCTGTGGTTATGGGTACAGTACAATGGTAAGGAATGGAAATAAATCCATGTTTTTTGGAAGTAGTTATGTGACATAAATAAGAGGAATACTTTCCTAGATGGGATTAGGTGCTTTTCCTCTTACTCAGTAGCACTAAAGTGCTCTCCTGAATAGTTGGAGTTAAGATGTGTACACAGATAAGTATTTCTTGGATGAAGTGAACTCTTTAAATCTACCAGAGGTCTTGTTTATCAATTTCCTTTCTATTCTACCATACTGAGTAGACTATATGCTGATTTAAAAAAAATGCCTGCACAAATTCCAGCTGGGTAACTAAATGCACTTCTCTGCAATGGTCTACCAAAAATAGGACAGGTTTTCAGCTATGCTCCAGCATGAGCAGGGATATGTGTGGGTGGGTTAATCCCCAGCTGGAATAGAGTGACATAGCTGACTTCTGAGCACTCCTTCAGGGGCTCTGGCATACGTTAATGGCAGATGCAGGTATTGCCAGCACTCTACTGTGCTCTGGCAATGACTAATTGACAGATGGACCTTTTGGTTGTCGCAGCCAACTTGAGTAGTTTAGAGCATTCAAGAGGTCGCCCTAAGCTATTCTGGGACAAGAGTCAGTGTAAAAATGCTCCAGACTAAGAGAACCACAGCTGGGTTCTTTGCAGCCCTTCTTTCTATCTCTACCTTACGGATATAGGCTTTAACTGAGCAGGACCCATACCAGAGCTTCAAAGGGATTATGGAATGATCAACCCTGTCTTCCACCCCAAGCTTTCAGTTATCAAAGATTTAGTGTCACCTAGCATAGTGTTTAATATCACATGTAGGAAGGATTTCAGTTCATCGTGTTACATTAGGCTGCACAGAAATTGGCTATGACTTGTGTGAGTTTATTATGATGCAACATAAGAATCTCTTTTTTTTTTTCTTTTCATTGGCTTTTCCAAGTACCTAGATGGAATAATTTATATTTTGCTTCTTTACATCCATCAAAAGGCATAATACTTTTTAACTGTATAACAAATTTAAGATTAGCACATGTCTTAGAATACCACAGCAGCTGCCATTGCACAAAATTACAAATGCAGCATGTGCACTAATTTGCTGTCTGAAACAATTTTGAATCCATAGGTGCATCTCTGACAATTATAACCTTGTCTCCCTAATTTACTCACAGTATTGCAATCACATGCCATAATCAATTTATCTGGTTAAAATAAGAGAAACAACTAAGTCCAGAAGCAATTGATTGATCACAAAATACTACAATATTTGTAGCATAAAGAACAATGTAATTTTGGTTTGTTTGGAAACTGCATTTGCTCTGAAAGTTACTTAAAAGTGAGCTTTGCTTTCCCCTCTCATAAGGAGAGAAATTCTTTGTTTTTCAGGAATGGCTTTAAACAAGAAACTAGAAACAGTTGTCTTCCTTTTCCTCCCACCTTCCTATTTTGGATGCATAAGCAGCACCTTGTTCATTTGGATCAATATTGGTTCAGGCTAGCTGACAAAGATGATCTGAATATATATCTTGGATTCCCTGCCAGTTCCTACTCTGCTCTGATTAAACTTCAAACAAAATAAAACCTGCAACACAACCACAGAAAACTATCAAACTTACAAACATTCAGTTCCAACCTTCTGTGTTGGAGGAGAATATTTAGAAGTTTTTCAGAATAAATGGATTTTGGTGTGTGTGGTGTTTTTTTTAAAATCTGGCAAGTCATTGCTTAAGCACCTGCTAACATCTGCATGGTTGCATCCAAAATGAGAGACAAGCTCATCATGTAGCTAGGAGTAATTTAAATGATACACCACATTTTTGTGTTGGGGCTTATGAAGAAATTACCGTAACTAGCTTTCCAAATTAGATAAGGACAATGTAAAGGGAAAATGGTTAATGGAATTTTTGTTACTTTTTAATCTTATAGTAGAGCAATCAGAAGCAGTAGAGAGGCTGAAGTATACCCAATATTAGCATTTATGAACTGTCCATAGTTGAAGGCACGCGCATGCAGGCATGCACACACACAGGGGCGGATATAGGGCAGGGTGAACGGGGTGGCCGCCCCGGGCCCTGCACTTCAGAAAGCCCTGCGCATGCGCCGTGGCACCACCGCGCATGCACCGTGGGAAAGGGGGGGCCCTGCGGAATTATACTGCCCGGGGCCCCGCAAAATGGTCATCTGCCCTTGCACACACAAGCCCACACCAAGACTATTCTAGGAATCTTGGGCCAAATGTTCAAAACTGGCTGCTTTAAATTGTTGCTGAAATGATGAGTAGTTTGGGGCAAACAAGTTAAGCTGCCAGTTTTGAACATTTGGCCCAAGAAGTTGAATATGGAGTAATCAATCCATGAAATGTGGTTGCCAAGAGCCACACCATTGCATAGACAGTGAGCTTAATCGCAAAACTCCCATTGATTTCAGTGGTGCAGCTGGAGATGTAAGCCTGGGCCCCATTCCTTCACTGTGATTCATGTGGGTAGACTGCAACATCCTTGGATCACAAATAGGAATGGGGCCTTTGTCTGTTGTTCGTCCTCCTACACGTGTTCTTTGGGTATTAACATTCTCTGAAGCTGTCAACAAGCATTTGGACAAAGGTGATTTAGTTGGACTTTTATAAAGCCTTTGCCTAGGTCCCTCACCTTGTTAAGCAAAGTAAGCTGTCAAAGATCCTCTCAGGGATCAGATACTGGTTAAATGATAGGAAACAAAGGGGAGGAATGCAAAGTCAGTTTTCACAATAGAAATGGTAAATAGTGGGGTCACCTAAGGATCTGTAGTGGGACCAGTGCTTTTCAGTATTCATAAATGGTCTGGCAAAGGGGTTAAACAGTGATGTGGCAATATTTGTAGATGATAAAATTACTCAAGATATTAAGACCAAAACTAAATGTGAAGTTACAAAGGGGTCTCCCCAAAACTGGGTGACTGATGAACAAAATGGCAGATGAAATTCAATGCTGATGAAGGTAAAATAATGCATATTGGAAAACTTATCTATTGTACATACAAAATTATGGGGTTTGAATTAGCTGTTATCTCTCAAGAAAGGGGTCTTGGCGTCATCGGGGCTAGTCCCCTGAATATTCACTGTGCTGAGGCAGTCAAAAGATAACCATGTTAGGAACTCTTAGGAAATGGATAGACAGAAAATGTAATGCCTCTGTATAAATCCCTAATAGACACACACCTTGAATATTATAGGAAGTTCTGGTCATCCCACCTCAAAAATATTAGAATAGGAAAAAGTACAGGCAGCAGGTTTAAAATACACAAAAGAAAGTGCTTCTTCACACAATGCAAAGTCAACCTGGGCTATTGTAAAGGTCAAAAGTATAACTGAGTTAAAAATAATTAAATAAGTTCATGGAAGATTGGCTAATAGCTATTGATAAACCTATGTCGTCAGGGGTTCAATCTGGGTGTTGCTAAGCCTAGAACTGCTGGAAGCTGGGACTGGATGATAAAAGAACAGCTCTGGCACAAAAGGGGTCCACGCAGCCCTTTTTTGCGCAAAAACCTCTTGTGCAAAAGGGAAGGGAAGAGGAAATACAAATGAGAGCACAACATATGCTAGTGAGCGCTCCATTTGCATTTCCTCTTCCGCAAGAGGATCGTAGTATAGACGTCATCTAGAAGTTTAAGAAAATACTAAAAACTATGCAAAGGTAAAGCAATGTAATGGCAATAGCATGATTACTTCAAAAACACGTTACTTATCCAGGATCAGATTCTTCTTTTACTTACACCAGTTTTGAACTCGTGTAACTCCTCTGATCTTAGTGTAAACCACTCCTTATCATGTTAGTGTAAGAACTTGGATCCAGCATAGTTCAATGAGAATCTTTCCATTGACTCTAATGGGTGTTAGATCAGGCCTTAAGTAAGAG